AGTGTCCTTTGGTTTTGGAGTTGTAGTTCACCTACATTCAGAGATCACTGTGGACACAAACAATGATGGATCGGGATCAAACTTGGCACAAATACTCAATATGCTGAAATGTGAACACTGGTGGAGTTTGAGGGAAAATAGAATCTTGACATTTGGGAGTTGTAGTTGCTGAGATTTATAGTTCACCTACAATCAAAGAGCATGCTGAACCCCACCAATGATAGAAATGGGCCAAACTTGGCACACAGTTCTCCCATGACCAACGGAAAATACTGGAAGGGTTTGGTGGGCAGTGTCCTTTGGTTTTGGAGTTGTAGTTTACCTGCCTCCTTGGAGACCAGAGCGGCCAGAGCAGAGGGTTCCTGCCGTAGTTTGGGGACCCCTGGCCTAGAGGCATTCTTATTTTATTGTTTTGTTGTTTGATATTGCTTTAATGGTTTTGATTTGCTTTAAGTTGTGTATTTGTTATGTTATGTTTTATTAAGGCTTCGGCCTGTGTAAGCCACATCGAGTCCTTCGGGAGATGCTAGTGGGGTACAAATAAAGTTAATAAATAATAAATAATCATTCTCTCCTGACGTTTCGCCTGCATCTATGGTAGTGAGGTCCTCTGAGGATGCTTGCCATAGATGCAGGCAAAACGTCAGGAGAGAATGCCTCTAGAACATGGCCATATAGCCCGAAAAAACCTACAACAACCCAGATTTTAAATATGTTCATTGCCATTTTGTGAGAGAAAGGTCTTTCAGGTGGGCGGCTTTTTTAATAAATTTGAAAGAAAACATGGGTCGTGACGGCAGTATATACGCAATCGGTAAGACTGGACTCTGCACGTGGATGGAAGGAACATCTTATTCCAATGCAAAAAGAACGGCTCATGAAGACCTGAAATTTAGCCAAAATGAACCAACTGACGACAATATGGGCAAATGTCAGTTGCAAGATTTGTTAATCGGAAGAGTGTTATCAAAAGCGGAAATGTGATTATATAATATTTTCTAAAAGGAATAGAAAAATAAGGAATAAACATTGATAGAACAAAGCTTTTAGAAATGTATCGTGTCAGTTTGCTTGTTTGTTTGTTAGTTCTGTTTGTTGGGCCGGGCTTAAGCACAGCAGGTTAACCACCAGCTGCAATAAATCTTGCCAATTCAAAAGGTCGACAGTTTGAAGCCCAGGTTGGGGTGTGAGTGCCCGACCTTCGGCCCAGCTCACTGCCCACCTAGCAGATCAAAAGCAGCTGTGAGTAGATAAATAGGTGCCGCTTTAGTGGGGAGGTATTGTATTGGCACCATAAGCAAATACCAGAAACATGCTGGTGATCAAAAACAAGGAGGAAGACTGTGAACAAGGGCAATAGCACACACACACACACCCCTCTCCCTGTGACCAGAATCGCGCACAACCTCCAGGACGCCGAAGATGGGAAATGCCTATATACCTCTATCTGTTCTGTTGTCTGTGCGGCCTGCCTATAACGGCATTGAATGTTTGCCGCATATGTGTTCTGTGGTCCGCCCCGAGTCCCCTTTGGGGTGAGAAGGGCGGAATATAAATACTGCAAATAAATAATAAATAAATGTGTGTGTGTGTATAGGTGTATGCTTCATTAGTGTGTTTGTTTCTGATTTAGTTTTGTATTGTATGTATTAGTTTTGTGATGGCACGCCAGGGATGGAAGGAAAACGATGTGTGCCTGGCTATTTCCCAGCGGCTATCGGTATACCCTTTATGGACTTCATTTCTTTAAAATAAGACTCTAGAGGCAAGATTAAGATTAACCAAATAAGTTTGCTGGAACAAAGCAAAGAGAATGTCAGTCAGAGCTCTTGAAAAGTGAATCAAAAGAAAGTATTACAAAGACGCAGTCTGTAGAATTTGGTTACACCAGAAATGAACAGAACTATGAGGAATGGTCTAT